TGTATAGCGAAACACGTGTCGCGGATTTTGTAAAACCCTCTATAGTGAAAATCATACAATAAACTGTATTTATTAGTTTTACTATAATAAAACCACATTAAATGTATATTTCATGTATATTTGAATTAGATATTATATATAAATATTTCAGTACCCAACAACCACCACATGGGTTACAAAATATTATTATTAAAATTTGTTTTCTGCCAGGCGTCCCGTGGCGGCTCACATTTTTTTCTATCCGTGAGTTTCGAAATTAACTGCGGTTGTGTATCATATACGTGAGATGTCACGTATCTGCTCAAAAACATCCAGAGGTGCCATATCAGGTGAACTAGTGGGTCATTCTAAGGTACCACGTCTGCCTATATAGGTACCCGTTTGGATAATTGACAAACCCTAATGAGTTTTCAACTGGTGTTACGTTTCAGCGAGATGAGGTAACTCTTCATTACGACAGGCTGGTTCGAAACTGGTGAATTGGTTAACGTTGTCTCTAGAATGACTCGCTAGATCACCTGACATGATGCCCTTAGACGCCCCTTTACACAACCTCAGTCTATTAATGAGCTCATAGATATAATAAGTAGTAATATATAGTAACAAAATTACCCCTGAAACATTCCACAATTTGAGAAATGAATCTGTACGCCAACTTCATCATTGTCAAGATATACTGGTTTGAGTTTTAAAAGCATTTTTTCTTGAATTTATGATATCGATCATTGGTTTTTCAGATACTTGAAACGAATATAAAACTGATAATTATTTTGGAACGGCTGATCCAATTTACAAAAATGGAGAGAAAATTGAAGTGCGCATCAAGCAAGGTATCACAAAATCTGCTTTATATTAAAAAATTAAGAAAATAATTATAAACATACTTATGATATGAAGATATGATATGATAGAGAAGAGAAAAAAATAATATATCATATAGTTGCTAATAACTCTTAATATTCTTTACATTATTTCGGTCAATTTAACAATTTCATTGCATTACCATACATTGAATTTTAAATTTTTTGGATTAGCACTGAGCAGTAAGCATCTGTGATTTTATTTCTTTCTTAAATTGATGAATATTGAAATGATGATTTAAAAGTGGTAAAATTTCATTCAGATAAGTAGGGGCTATATAAGAAAAACATCCCTAAAATTTGAAAGTACGGTGCCTAGTTATATCGAATGAGTTAATTCTCAAATTGACCATATGTATGTCAGAATGCCTGCCTAATAAACTATATGAATAACAGGGTTTTAGTTTGAAGCAACTTAAACAAAAACATTTTTATCAAATATTGGACTCTGTACTCCTTCATTTTTGACAAAAATGGGCTGCACCATGTGGTATACAGCATACGAATCGCATGCAAGCATTTTGTACACGTTGTAACTTCTGTTTGTTATATTGCAGCAAAAAATTGTAGTGCACCGAACAACAATATTCGATATGGAGGTAAATAAGAGTTTTAACTAACCTGAGTTTCATTTCTTCTGATAATTTATATAGCGATTTGAGTTTGAAGAATGATACTTTGAAAATGTTCGTCACATGTTCATGGAAAGACAAAGAGCTCTATCTATGGTTACGCCAAGATTTTTAGCACTGTCTACCCAGTCAATGTCTGCGTTATCAAGAGTGAGCCTAAAGTTGCATTGAGTTTCTACAATT